CAAATCAAGAAGCTGCTACCGTTGCAGTGGTACTTATTAAAGAATTTTTTTTGGTGTTCCGTAGAGATCCACTCGGATCAAGGGCGAAACTTCGAGTCAACCCTTTTCCAAAACGTTTGTAAATTGATTGGTATCAATATGATGAGAACGACACCCCTGCATCCTCAATCAGATGGAATGTTAGAGAGGATGAACCGAACGATGGGTAAATACATGTCCAAAGTTGTATCAGAATATCAAAGAGATTGGGACCAGAACATTCATTTATTCCTAATGGCCTACCGCTCGGCCGTAAATGAAACTACAGGCCAGACTCCAACCTGCCTGATATTAGGTCGTGAAATTCGTTTGCCCTGCGACCTAGATTTTGGCTGCAAACGTTTCGAAGAACATATTGCAAGCGAAGATTATGGCGACCGCCTGAAGTTAATAATGAACAAAATCCATGAACTTGCCCGACAACACATCCAGTTAGCCAGTGGCAGAATGAAAGATCAATATGATTCTCGATGTAAGAATGAAAGCTGTGAAGTAGGTGATCTTGTATGGTTTTATAATCCACAACATCGTCGCGGCTTGTCTCCCAAACTACAAAGACAATGGGAGGGTCCGTATGAAATAAAAAAAATGAATGACGTAATATACCGAATTAAGAAGTTGCCGAAAGGTAAACCAAAAGTAGTTCACATAAATCGGCTTGCACCTTATGCTGGCTCAAATGAAACAGAAGAAGCACGAACCCTTCAATATGAGATCAAAAATGATCGGCGACCAAGCTTTAATGAATTTATGTCAAAATGCTCAGAAAGAAAGAGTGCTAAATTCGGCATGACCACAGAAATTCAGCAAGATATTTTTAGTGTTCCGCATAATGTCTCTCTAGCCCACTGTATTGCCCAAGATCTTGAGACGACTAAAGGATTCTCATTCGTATTTTATAAGAAGTTCGGTCGTTTGTACGAGATAAAAAATCAGCAGCCTAAAGTTGAGAAAGTACTGAGATTAGAAGATGGTTGTCGATCTTTGCTGTATATGGTGACCAGGAAGTTGTATACAGGCAGTGCAAGCTACGAGGATGTATGGCGTGCTCTAACTAATTTGAAGAAAATTGTGTGCAATTACGACATCAAGAATTTGGCCCTACCAAAGATAGTCCATGCACTAGATAATATGCATACAGATTGAACGAAATAAATTCGGAACATACGAAATATTATGTATTTCTGCTCAATTCTGCTGTAGGTGGTTGGCCAACAAAAGGTTGTCAAATAATTATATTATAAAAATCAAATACTTCAGCGAGCTGCTGGATTCTGAACTAATTTAAGAACTCATTCATAGGTGGTCAAACCACCTATCGCTTCCTAAAGCCGGCCACTCACGGTACAGCGGTGTCGTTCGACATAATCGGACAGAGGCGTTGTTCAATTTGTTGGTATATCTGATGCGCCCACACACCATACTGCGCCGCAGTATTTGTTCGGTTCTCGACCATGTCAAATCAAACAATCATTTTAGCGTCTCTTACTTTGTGTATAAATTCTTTGTGTATAGATTCTGGTGCAAAGAATCCAAGATTTTGGTGCAAAATAAATCTCGTCTGCCCCTGCACCCGATTTACTGGACTGGGCTGCTAATTTTAATTCTCTTTTATAGGATGTTCTAAAATTGTTAATTTTTTTTCTTACATACTCTTCATTCGCATCTTTATTTACTTCTTGGAACTTTAAAACTAGAATGTCCATTGCCTGTTTTCGGGAGTTTCTATCGTGATACGTTTTACCTTTTATTCGCTATAGCATTCTTGTTTTTTATATAATTTTAAAAACTCTCTTAAAAAATTCTCGCTAAATCAAGCCATTTCGATTTTCTATAATATGATCAAAGCAAGTGTTTAGTTAACAACGAAGTTGTACAACGCCGCTGTATTGTGAGTGGCCGCCTTTAGGCAAGCCCCTGTTTCGTTTATCGGAGATGGAGATTTTGAGCGGTGTTGCCAATATCATTCCACTAGATGTTTCTAAAATAACTACAAACTTCTGAAATAACTACAAACCATTAAGTTTATTTTTGTTATTAGTCTGTTGTAGTAGATTGGTAAATACAATGAAAAATATAGGCAAATATCCGATTTATTTAAAGATACGAAGAAGATATTATAACTCTCAAAAAGATCCGCAAATCGGATTATTACACGGCGATTGGCAACATTGACTTTGAGCTGCGCTCTAGACTATAGTGCGTTCTAAAAAGAGACGGATAGTTGAACGATATTTTATACAATGTCTAACACCGGGTATGTATTTATTTTTGTCCAAGTTTTATATTGGTCCACTATTTCAAATGCAGTTCAAACAGACATATATTAAACTGTATGATCCGTTTTAAATTCGTTCAATCTGTATAATAAATAAACACATATAAACAGAAACAAAGAAGCTTATGCATAAGAGAAGGAAGCTGAACGAAGAAGGCAAAAGGAAATCTATAGAATATGTAGAAATTAATAAAACAATAAGCAAAATGATAAAAGAAATTAAGAGAAAATAACAAGAAATAAAAATAGAAGAAATAATACAGAACAACAAAAATATGAAATAGTTAAGGCCGAAATTCGGTAAGTTTTAAATAAACAAAGTAAAAGATGTAAATGGATTAGGAAGAAACGTTAAAGATGACATCATACAAATGGTCCACCATTTCTACTCAGAATTATATAAAACAAAAAAGGAGCCACCAGAAGAAATTAAAAACCAACTTAAGGTTAAAATAAAAAATGTCAACTTAGATCTACAGCCAGAAATAAGCCAATCAGAAATAAAGAAGGCATTGAAAGAAATGAAAAACAACAAATCGCCTGGATAACTGCAGAGATACTGAAATATGGTGGAAAAGTTATAAATTATACTCTACATTCTCTGTATTACAAGGTATTAAAAGAAAAAAGAATCTCAAACAACTGGAAGGAATCAGTAACCATTATCGTACACAAGAAAGGGGATAAAGCAGATATAAAAAACTACCGTCCTATAACACTCCTCAATGTAATGTATAAACTCCTAACAAAGATTTTAACCAATAGATTGACGGCAAAATTCGACGGATACCAGTCGAAAGAACAAGCTGGTTTTAGAAAGGGATTCAGCACAAGTGACCATTTACTAAGTATGAAAATACTTATAGAACGAGAACGAGTTCATAGATTTCGAAAAGGCTCTCGACAGTCTCGAACATTGGGCAGTGAAAAGTTCTTTGATTAACAGCAGAATTGACCACATATATACAAAACTAATAGCCAATATATATAAAGAAGCCAAAACAACAATTAAAGTATATGAAGGAACAAAATCAATATAAATAAATAGAGGCGTGAGACAGGGTGACACAATATCACCGAAACTTTTCAATCAGGCCCTAAAAGATATTTTTAAAAGATTAGAATGGGAAGAAAAAGGTATAAAAATTTGTGGACAACGCTTGAACCATCTAAGGTACGCTGATGACATCGCATTGATAACCGATAAAAAAGAAGAATTATTTGAAATAATAAAAGAACTGGACGTAGAAGCTGGAAAGAGTGGCCTTAATATGAATTACAGCAAGACCAAAACCATAACACATACAGATGAAGACATCACAATGAGAATCGGGCAAGATGGTAATAGAACAAGTTCAGGATTATATATATATATATATATATATATATATATATATATATATATATATATATATCTGGGTCAAACTATAAAACTTAACAAAGAGAACCAAACAGCAGAGATAAAAAGATGGGTTAGACTAGCATGGGCGGCATTTGGCAAACTAAGCTACATTCTTAAAAACAAAATATATCCACAGCATCTTAAGACCAAAGTATACAATCAATGCGTACTCCCTGTTCTTATTTATGGTTCCCAAACGTGGATATTTACAAAAGCAAACATGGACAGAATCATAAAAACCCAAAGAGCAATGGAAAGACAAATGTTGCACATAAGACTAATGGATAAAAAGAGAAACGAATGGATAAGAGAGAAAACAAAAGTGAGGGATGTTAGACAAGAAGTTGCAAAATTGAAATGGAGATTTGCCGGACACAATATAAGACAAAAAGAAGACCGATGGAACAAAATTCTTATCAGTTGGAGACCGTGGGAATATAAACGAAGCAGAGGAAGGCCCCAAATGAGATGGATAGATGATATCAAGAAACACGTGGGCTCTAGGTGGATGACTGTAGTGACAGACAGAAAAGAATGGAAAAGGATTGGGAGGCCTGTGTCCAAAGATGGACCGAAGAAGACTAATTAGATAGATAGAGATTTTTTAATATTTCTAACAATGTTTCTTTATTTTGAAAAGTAAATAAATAATTCTAATACGTTTACTAAAAGACTACATAAAGTAAGTGTGATTATCTCTTTTCTTTTGGCTATTTATTGGTTTGGAAAAAGGGTAAATATATTTTTATTTGTTTTAGACCAATCCTTTAACTTCTAGGATCCCGAGTTTTCCTTATCTGTCAGAAAAAATAAAAGGTTGAGGCTTTTCTATTTATTATTTTTTTATAATCTACTTCCTCATCAGTTAGTTCGATTTTTTTTACTTTCGTTCTGACTTGGTTTTAAATAAACCACATTAGTATACCAGTCTAGATATTTCTAGTTCCTTCCCAACGCTCGTCGTTGTGTCCTTCAAAACGTCCAGCAGCCGGTAGCATTGTGGACGTCTTTAAATTTTTACGTTACCAAAAATAGTACTCAACTTCTGGGCCTCCTTTTTACCCATCCAAGTCTATAGTATGATACATGATATGTAATAAGGAAAACTAGTTACTTGAAATTGAATATATAAATGCATAATGACGTGGCCAAAGTGGAATTGTATCCGTATTTCTACTGGTCATATAAAATGACGTGTATAATAATTTATTAAACAGATAAAAGGGAACAAACGCAACGTACTATAAAAAAACATAAAAACATCAAAAACAACAAAATTGATCATTTTATTTCAGGAATTACTTTATATGGATTCAGTATCATATGAGGATCGAGTATTGTTTTCAGATCTTTCATTAAGTTAACGTTGTTTCCAGATTTTACCATGTTTAAATATTTGGCTTTCATAAATCCCAGTCCGTGTTCCGCACTTATGCTTCCATTAAGAGCGAGAACTTGTTCGAAAATATATGGTTCTGCAAGGTTCTTTAATTCGTCGCTGTATTCATCCATTACAATAGATATGTGTATATTACCATCACCTTGAAAAAAAAAACTTTTAAATATGTAAAAAAATCTTCAATCATAATTTTATGACTTTTAGACTTAATTAGATTGTATAACTGTATTTAATCTACAATAAGATTTACATTATGTTAAATATTTATTTTTAACGGTGTTGGTGTTATATTGTATGACGAAAAAAGTTAATATGCCAATTTATCAGTTATTTGAATTGATAAATTGTGTTGTAGTCTGCTCGTTTTCTCTCTCGAGATCGCTGGACTGTAGAATTTCTCGGTTTTCCTACTTACACTCGGGTGGCGGGTTATATACAAAAAACTGAAGTGTTACTCTTACTTTGTTTATACGAATACTGCTTGCAGTTGTGCAAAGCTGAATAGAATCCTTATAAGTATATCGTTAAATATAAAGTTACGTAACTTAAAGATATTCTGCTCTAGATTCCTTGAGCCCTTATCAAGGCGTGGTGACACTCTAAATTGTATTGGCTTCATGTAGGGAGTCTTCATTTGGTCTGTCCATCGTGATGAAGATTGGTCTTCGCCTTTTACCTTACCTTCTACTACAAATAGTTCCATGGTCCCCGTTCTTCTAGTTATGTGCTAATTAGAAACATAAACGTAAAGATATGCACGCACGTTGGTGAAACTAAACATAAAAGAAAATAATAAAAAAAATTTAATGATTTTACTTTTAATTTACAGTATGGAAAAACAAATCGGGATAAATTTGATTTTAATGCTGGCTATACCACAACAATTTTCAATTGAAGGTGACTCATCTTTTCAACAATGTTAAATGTCAGAAGTAAATTTTTACCAACACTTACCGAGGTCATTTCTATAGTGAATGCTTCGCCAACGTGGATAAGTGGAAAGTAAGATGGTTCCATAAAATTTGCTCCTGTGACAATATATCTTCTACATACCGGTGCGATTCCGGAACGAACACTTGAACAAGTTAAATACTTTAAAACATCGGTAAACTTATCAACACTTCGCTGCTCTATATATTTACGTCCTTGGAAAGAGTGGGAATGGGTGAAATAGTTTATTCGTTCAGTTTCTTCATCATCAAGGAGGATATCTGCATAGGCGTTGTGTGTTCTGCCGAAAAGCAGACATCCAGAGTTGGTTAGGATAAAAAGGAATTTAATTTTCCAGGACATGGTTAATGCGGAGCTTATAAGTGTCATTAGACAGCATCGTGACAGGTATCGCCAGCATGTTGTAGATACAGTTACTCGTACTAAAGGCATCACCATTTTGAGACTTCCACCTTACCATTGTGAGTTAAACCCGATAGAATTAATCTGGGCCCAAGTAAAGGGTTACGTAACTCGTGAAAATGTAACATAAAATTCCTGATATCCAACGTTTGTTAGAACTCGCAATGGAACAGATACGAAAAGAAGATTGGACTAATGCCGTGTAGCATTTCGATTTCCCCTCGTACATGTTAAAACACCGAAAAATATTCTCAATCTTTTTGCGTCGCTTATATTGATAATTTTTCGACTGTTCCAACAACCATTAAAATTTCGTCATTTTGTGTCATGTGGAACAATTTCATCCAATCATGTCAACATTAGACTGATAATTGCATTCAGTGCAATTTTCAATCCCTATGACAACACGATCAAGTTTGACAACTTCATCCAAATAAATTTCAAAATGTCACGTTTCTAATGTTAACTTAAATTTTAATAATTGTACTTTCACTAACTGTACTTTTAATAAATAAATGTTTCGTTATGTTGAGTTATGATTTTTTTTTCGAAAAATTATCCGCCGAATATCCCTCGGACATTGATGAATGCCTCATAATTTCATGACAAATTTCTCAAGCTCGTTGCTTGGTAACAGCACTCAGCCTTCGGCTTCGTGCTGTTACCAAGGAACGAGCTTTCGATTGTCATGAAATTATCTCGTCTGTTATCAATGTCCAAAGGGATATTACTACTGATAATATAAACATTTCTGGTCTGTATTTATTAATTTTGGTTACATTCTTTTGATCTTTATTCCGCTTAATATTGTGCGTCAAATAAATATCCACTTAGGTTGGTGGGAAAGAGATGCTTAGAGATTATGATGTCACTCTACAATGGACCACGATAGGAGCCAGGTCATTATTTAGTCGATGATTTTTTTTTAATTCGTTATACTTGTTCGTTATAAGTTGAGAGGTGAATTTGGGCTCAAGATGCTATTTGGCACTTTTTGTTGAGGTTATCACCGATTGGTTGTGCTGTGCCCTATATGGGAGATTTGTAAGACGGCATTTCCAACCATTTGAGAAGTCCACATGGTTTTAAGAAGGAATTGAGTGGCCGAGTTTTGAAGATTACAGTATATCCAGGATAACCCGAAGCCCGCATCAGTGTCTAACTTACTAAGAATTGTTCATTTTGTATTCTATTTCCTCAGATCCATTCCAGTTTGTGTGGGACAAAGTTGTGTGTTGTTTGCAGTGTTTTGAATCAATTACAATCCCAAAAACTTTCTTAAAGAAAATACATCAGGCAGTGATACCAGGTACTTTTCATCAAAATTATTCAACGTAAAACTCAACAATTTTTCATTAATAAAAAATTTGCTTTCATGACAAATTAAAAAAGAATAAATAAATAAAATTATAAGTTTTATGTAGTATTATTATTTTCTGACATTTGGTACATAACCATAATTTTAAAATTTGTTTTGTTTAAAGGTTAACCTCAATGTAGGCTCCGTTGAAAAATTTTGATACATTTTATTTCTAATAATTATTTAAATAGTTACTAGTTGTAAAATTGTTACAACTGTCGTCTAACCTCTAAGGTTTGTTGATAAATTTTGTTAATATTATTTGTAATAACTGTTGATATGAAGTGATAATAAATATGTAATATTTTTTAAAAAAGAAAAACTTTTCTTTTTATCCAGTAAGAGGATACTTTTAAACGGCGTCCATTTCAAATAGTTTAGGAACCTTCTTGTGTTTGTTGCCCAGGAAATCTACGTTAGTATTTTTTTATTTCTTTCTTTGTAGTTACCCCTTTCAGTCCCCTCTTTATTAAGTTACTTACGACCCAGTTCTCCGACCAAAACAAGTGTGGCCATTCGCAAACGTTTCGGTTTGATTGCTTACCCTATTTTCAGCTCAAGAATTGCTCATTACCCACTTTCAACCCCCTATAAGTGATACCCAATGTGGTAGGCAAATTAAATCGTTACAGCTGTAATTACCGATTCCTCTTCCGACGAATCGCTGGATTCCAAAACTTCATAAGAATAACTTAATTATTTCTTTGCTTTGTAGTTCTCCTTCTATTTTAATTAAATATAATAATTATTTTGCAAAGTTTTCTATTTTTTGCAGTAGGTACCATATTAGGCACTCTATAATAACAATAAAATTTTAATTTATTTTGTTAGACAACTATACATATGTATTTAAATAAATAATAAATAATTAAACTATTATTTTAGGACGCGTCTGTAAAGTTGATAGAATATCGGTTGGGCGCTTTAAGTACAATATTGCCAATGAATCACCTTCAATTAAAATTTTTATAGTATAGAATAGATAGTTTATCTGATGAAGAATATTTATTTATTTTAGCAAAGAATATTTTGGCGTAAAATGTTCGAAATGGACGTGTGGAGGAAAAATTATATAGAAGTATATTGCAGAAGAACTAGAATTATTTTATTTATGTTTTATCTTCTTCTTCTCCACGTGCCATTACGGAATTACCCGGCATTGGCGATCACCATTGCGAAGGCTTCTATATATTTTGCAACATGGAACAATTCTGCTGCATTTGATATCGGGGTTCATTCACAAATATTCTTTAACAAAGAAACCTGTTTTCTTCCTACACCTGTAAGGCCTTCTATTTTACCTTTTAGGGCCAGTTGTGAAAACCTCTACGCACGGAGAACAGCTGGAAACTTCTCCGTGCGTAGAGGTTTTCTCCCCGGCTCTGGAACTCAATTTTTGCAATGTACGTTACCTGAAGTCATATTTAATTTAATACTGAACATCACAGTTTTTTAACAACAAGATGTATAATCTTTTATAACTATATGTAATTTAAAGGGTTTTTACCCATGTATTTTTGGTGGCTCAGGCATTTTAACCTAGCGATTTGAAACCTGATGATGGACTGTTTAGTCCGAAAACGTTTGTTTTTTTGATGTAGCCCTTTTAAGGGTTTTTAAATAAATATACCCACTTACGAAGACTAACCTCTTTTTTTGTGATACGTGGTATACAGCCAGCTACAGGAATTGTTTTCCTTGTGGATTTTGTTAAGTATGAAGAGATGGGAATTACTATAAACGCTAAAAAAATAAAGTACATGCTAATTACAAAAAGACCACAAAATATACATCACAAGTAACGTGATAAAACAAGTAGAAAAAATCTTACTTGTAGATAAGTAGTACTTGGGAACTTTGATCAATGGAACCAATGATCATACTGCAGAAATAAACATGCGAATAGATTTTGCCAGATCAGCATTTATATGAATGAAGCCACTGCTAACGTGCAAAAATCTAAATTTGGAGATCAGACTACGGACCATTCGCTGTTATATATTTTCAATATGTATTATTATATGGAGCTGAGACTTGGGCATTAAATAAATACAATTTAAAAAGAATTGAGGCTTTCGAACTCAATATTTAACACTTTTCGAATTGGTTATACCGCATAGTATTAAAAATATCATGGACTGCTAGAATTACAAATAAAGAAGTACTGGAGAGGGTTGGTAAAGAAACAGAACTAATCACCACTATACATACCAGAAAACTGGAATACCTAGGCCACGTGATGAGGGGACCAAAATATGTAATTTTGAGACTGATAATACAGGGAAAGATTCAAGAAAGAAGATCTGTTGGCCAAAGGCAGAACTCATGGTTGAAGAATACGCCTATATTGCCGCATTTCAAACGCCTCTATGTTTTTACGGATTGAGCTTTCAGAGTCCAAGCTTCTATTCCATATAGAAGTTGCGACTATATATAACATTCGACGAACCTCAATCCGATAGCCATACTTAATTTCTTATTTGTAAACATTGACTTAAATTTTATAAATACTTTTCAGATTATTTCAATTCTGACCTTTATCTCTTCATCTTGTTCTAACTGTGAGTTTATAATTGCTCCGTTGTATTTATACTTGTCGGCCCTCTCTAACGGTTTACCCTCCAATTTCATATGTATGTTGTCAACACGGGTTTTCGAGATCATCATGTATTTGGTTTTATCTATATTCATTGTTAGTCCCATATTTTTGCTTTCTCTGTTAATGATTTCAACAAGAATTTGTAAATCGTGTATATTTTCTGCCATTATTGCGGTGCTTACAAGCGCTCACTTCAAGTATAAATATAATCTATTTGATTTCTTAAAGGCTCAGGGCTGTAGTCATCTATGCCGTTATATTTACAAGATTCATACAATCTCTTTTTGATACCTTAAGTTATAAACAAACTACCACTCTGTTCTCTTTATGTTCTCGAATCGACATCATGTCCTTCTGTTCATATTCGAGGTGCAGTTTCTACCGCCCGAAATGTTCAAAATTTTTATATTTATCATTGTCAGTGCAGGTTGGCCCAGGAAGCAGATAAGGTCGATTTATACATATCCGTGCCGTGGTTGTTCTGTGTTATGAGAGTGTCCGGCAGAAAAAAAAAATGTACTCTTATAAGTATATTTATACATTGGCGTTTTCCGAACGGAGCCCGTCCGTGTCCGGCTTGAAATTAATCTCAAACGATATTTTTGTTTTCGGCACTGGCGATGCACGGAAATGACACGGACCGCACGGACTTGTATAAACACGATTTTATTGTTTACTGCTGGTAAACAGACAGTGAAAAAAAAGAGTACTGCTACAATATAAAATCTTCGTAAAATTTTGTTTCATCGTCCAATAATTATCTGTATATTTGGAATTCTCCTTCGGTTTGTCATTTTTTTTCTGCTCTTTTTTCAGATTTTGCTCTTGCTGTTCCTCTTCAAGTAAGTAATAATGGCAATACGGAGAGATCTTCTATCCAAACTGCTATATTTTCATTTCTCTTTTACACAGAAATATGTAATAACGTTTTTCTCTCTTATTCGGCCCGGTACGCACATTGCCATATCGCAGTTGTGTGTAAATATAACATTAAAAATACCCGGACTCGGCACTGACACGGAACGGACACGGCACGAATATGTATAAATCGACCTTAGGGGTACACGGGTTTTTTGTTTCTCTTGTAAAAATATTTTACGAAATTGAGAGAATATAGAGAACACAGTGATAGTGTTTAGAGCATTACCTACCTAAATGACCGTATCCAAACACTTTTTCGCATTTACTGCCCATCCTTGTCTTCATAATATCTACGATGGTATAGTAATGTTGTAAGGGTAACGAAATGTCGTAATAAAAGACAGCACCACAATGCTTGTATCCGGTGGAGACGTTATCTCTTATTGACCATATATCCTAAGAAATACCAAACAATTATTTTTTTAATTTAATAAATTAAACATATCAAAATAACAAACGTTTCACTAAACTCAAAAAATTCAAAAAGCTTGATTGGACAGAATGAAAAGATTTTTAAAAATGGAAAACACTTTTAAAATAATAAAAAGGATAGAGATTGGTGTACATGGAGATAAAGATAATAAATAATGTTAACGTGATATCAATTTTTTTTCTTCTTTAAAACGCTATTATTCTTCTTCTTTTAGTAGCCCGTCCGATTATCGAACATTGGCGATCATATTGACAATAATAACTCTGTTTACGGCAACTCGAAACAAATTAGCGGATGTCTCTTGATACCTTCTTCTTATAGTGTCGTGCACCTATAATGCGTTGGCGAATTATCTTAGGGCCAGACGTCTGTCTTTTGCGGCATGCAAAATATCGCCAGTGTTATTTATGCCTATTCAATTTTTTATGTTCCGTTGTCACGACATTTGTTTGCGACCTACTCCTCTCTTGCTTTAAATCTTGCTCTGGATGATTAGTTAAGGAATTGCATTTTTTTTTCTCTCAGAATATGGCCGAGGTATCCAATTTTTTGTACCTTGATCACATTGAGCAGATCTATCTCAGTATTTGCCTGTCTTAAAACTTTCTCGTTTCTTACCATGGTATGCGGAACATTCTTCGCAACGTCCACATTTCGAAGGCCTCTAACTTATTAATGGAAAGTACTCTTAACGTCCATGTCTTCATGCCTTATAACAATATGGACCATACATAGCATATAACCATCCTGTGGCGGAGATTGAAGGATTTCGGTTACGTAGTAGCGGTTTAAATTTGATAAAAGCTTGTCTTGTTTTATTTCTTGTTGAGGAGAACCATTCCCAAGTATTTAAATGTTTTCACTTCTTTAACCCTGCGGCAGGCGCGACATTTTAAGTTGCACGAGCAGGCGCGACGCTGTGTAGAACACCGCAAACTCTAGTTCTCATATAAAACTTAGTTATACGCAAAATAACCATTTATTATTAAAAAGTGACATTCGTAAAAAATTAAGAGAGTTTCTAACGTAGAATCCTATAAAAAAATAAAATAAAAATATGGAACCGAACCAAGATACATTAACAAACAAAAAAAATATTTAACTAATTGTTGAGCTCCGAGCAGTTGTTGCATGTTATCTGCCTCACACCATGTTTTTGGCATACAAAATGCTTACATTCGATACATCTAGTGGCAACTTTTATATTTTTATGTTTTCCACATAATTTACAAGGTCCAATTCTTCTCTCTTCGGGGGCAGGTGGTTGCTGTAGTCTATATTTCGAAAGAAACTCGCGCACATCCTTGGGAAGGCTCTTTATCTCAGCTCGTTCCTTCAAGTGGCTTTCCATTAGTTCAAATGCTAATTTTGTGAGATATACTCTGCGTCTTGGATGCTCTACTAAAGGTCTGTTTGCTTTATAAATAATCTCGGAATTAATACCAGCCAAATCAAGTATTCTAAAGAATAAAGCTAGTGGCCATCTTCGTGTTATCCTTTGTGTCGAATACGAACTACACATTTGGTCGACTGTGTCAACCCCACCTTTTGTAGCATTGTAATGCACAATGATTTCAGGTTTATTTGTAAGTTCATCAATTTTTCCATTATCATGCATCGTTGATAATAATAGCACACATTTATTCGGTTTTGGCTTGAATGAAACAAGAGATACATCGTGTTGAAAGCCAAACATTGCTGTACCAATTTCGCGGTTCTTTATATTGACAAATTCTGGCGGAATTTCTGGTTTATTTTTTTTTAGGGTCCCTACAATAGTCATCCCATTTTCTAGTAAATATTTAGCCAATGGATAACTGGTGTAATAATTATCCGTCGTAAGATTTCTATTAGTGTGCAGGAGGGGTTGCACTAATCTTTGAACTATATCTGTTGGTTTATTTGATGCTTGGAAAGGGCCAGTTTTCTGAGTTCCACAGTAAATTTCAAAATTCCACGTGTACCATGTTTGACTATCGCACACTGCGTAAAGTTTCAAACCATATTTTGCTGGCTTGTTCGGAATATATTGAACAAATCCACATCTTCCCCGGAACGGATGCAACATTTCATCAATAGTAATGCATTCGCCGAGGGTATAGTTCTTTTGACAATTATTCGTAAATTTGGAATAAATATTTCGAATAGCTGTAATTTTGTCAGAAATGACTCTTTCATTTCTTGTTGTAATATTGTCAAATCTTAAGCTACGTAGTAAAAACAGAAATCTCTTATAGGCAAAATTCCCGTACCATCGTCAGACCATAACTCCAATACATTAGCATGATTGCCCTTTTTTATACCAATTAAAAACAATACACCGATTAGAGCCATTACTTCGTTCCTTGTTGTTTTCTTACAGTCTCTCTCTCTCTTGTAATTTACAGATATTTTGTTGTCGATATATATATTTGTGCATGTTACGATGAAGTCTATAATTTCTGTATCAATAAATTTAAGAAATGCTTCTAGTTCATTTTTTGTATCTCTAGCTTGACTTGTGGACCTAGCAATAACCTTAACGATATTTTTTGATTTGGTTTTACTTGGAAGGCTTAAAGGGTTACTTATCCATAATGTGGAAGTGTCTTTGCCAATATAAAATCGAAAATCCACGGCAAGAGGTTGCTCGTCTGGTGTATCAGGCTGTTCCTCAGAAATGTCCATATCGCCTGGTGTATCAAGCTGTTCCTCAGAAATGTCCATATTTGAATCAATCGACTCCTCAGATTCACTGTCATGCTCACTGACCATAATGTTTTCTTCTGAGCCCTCGCTGTCATCACTAAATTCACACGTATCTTCAATTTCTGAGAGATTTTCAGCCAAATATTCAAGCTCTTTTTGAGTAAGAGGAGTTCTGTTTTGTTTTCTGTCCCTGTAAAAAAATGCTAATCTAAATAAAATCCAGAAACCTCTGAAATTTACAGATACATGAAATGATATTTAGATATACCTAAAATAAACGTTTGTAGCATGCCTATAACGCTAAAGAACAAAGTGATATAAATATTTGCAGTTATATACCTCATAATATGTCAATTCCTATGAAATAAAAACACACAAAGGCTCACAGAAAATTCATTGTTATGCGAAAATGTACTTACATGACTAGGCGCACCGCTGTGTTCCACACCGCTAAACAGAACTTACTAGTTTCGCAGCTACGCAAGTACTACAGTAGTTTATAACACAGCTCGCTTTGTGCTTGATAGGTTGCCAGATACTCTCAGCAAGGAATACCTAGACAGACGGTCCAAAACTAACAGACATAGACGCGTGCGCAAACATTTCAGATAGTTGCGGTGCTGTACACAGCGGCGCGCCTGCCGGAGGGTTAAAGTGCGTTTTTAATGTGGTGCAAAAAGCATTAAAGCTGAAATGGGAATACGCTGGACATGTAGCTAGGAGCGATCTAAACAAATGGCACAGATCAATTTTAACCTGGAGACCATACCAACACAAAAGACCCAGAGGCAGACCTCCTATGAGATGGACAGATGATCTGAAAAGGACTGCCGGGAAAAATTGGCTACAAGTAGCGTACAATAAAAAACAATGGAAAGGAAGACTTGAAGAGGCTTATGTTCAGATGTGGACGTGAATGGCTAGACGAAGAAGAAGAAGAAGAAGAAAGTGCGTTTTTATCTTATTGTCATGCATTTAATTTTTCCAGCATTTATCTTCAAACCATATATTTTTCCTAGGATGTTTATTTTATTTAACATAAACTGCAGATTGTGTTCGTTGTCTGTTATTATTGCGGTGTCGTCGGCGTAACGAATGTTATTTATCAGGAACCCGTTTGCCTTTATTCCACACTCAGAGCCTTCCAGTGCCTCTACAAAAATGTTCTCCACATAGAGATAGAAGAGCATAGGAGACAAAATACACCCCTGTCGCACCCCTCTCAAAATTTCAAATTCTTCTGTGTTGGTTGATTTGTTCAATCTCACTCGTGCTTTTTGATTAAAATAGAGATTCTGAATAACTCTTATATCTTTCTCGTCAATGTTAGCGTTGTGTAGCATTTTTATCATTGCGTCATGTTTTATGGTGTCAAACGCTTTTTCATAATCGATTAATGTTATGACTATATCCTTTCGTTGATCCATGCAGTTTTGTATAAGCGTATTCAAGCAGAAAGCTGCTTCCCGTGTATCCAGTCCGCTCTTGAAACTAAATTGTGTCACCGCTTAGATCTTCCAGCTTTATGAACATTCTTGTGTGAAGAATGTGGAGAAACACCTTTCAAATGGCTCATTGAACTACTCAGTCTGTGGTCTTTGCATTTTGTCGCTCTTTGTGATTTAGGGATCATTATAAAGGTTGAATATAGTCAATCCGTTGTAATATGGCCGGTGTTATATATGCATTGAAAATTGTTACCAGCATATCGATGTTATCATCTTCCAACAGTTTTATGCCTTCCGTAGTAATTCCATCCGGTCCAGGGGCCTTGCCTAGTTTTGCTACTTTTATAGCGTGCTCCACCTCGGCGCGAATAATAGGAGGGCCGGATAAATTTTTCGTGGGTAAGTTAGTAGTTGACAGGTTAGGTCTATTATTCGCAAAGAGGGACGAAGCATAGTTTGTCAGATTTTAGCTGGTTCTTCCTGGGTATGAACGTAGTTTCCTTGATCATTCTTCAGGCGAGTCTCATGGTGTTTCTTGTATATATTCGAAATTTCTTTGACCTTTTTATGTAGTCTAAAGCTGTCTCCCTTTTCTTGTAGTGATTACAATTCTTCACAACGTACTTTCATACAGCTTTCCTTTGAGTTTTTAATTCTTGCCATTATCGTATGTTGAATTCCCTTATATTCCTGTTGATTTTGATGTATTTTGTACTGTCTGCGTTGCTCCATTAGATCAAGTATCTCTTCCGTCATCCACTCGTTTTTGTGATTTCTTTTTATTTTACTTGCGACTTCTTCGTCAGCCTCGATTATAGCTACTTTTATTTTCTCACAGGATTCCTCTATGCAATTTCCTCATATGTTTCTGAAGTTTTCGTTGATGTGCTTACTGTATGTAGATCTAAGCTCTTCATTTTTCATTAATTCTCTAGTGTTTATGTATTTTTTATTAGATGGCATTTTAACCTTTGCGAATCGAAGTCTTACATTTGCGATTAGGGGGTTGTGGTCAGACTAGATGTTGCGGAATCTTTTGTTTATCAAGATGTAATCAATTTGATTTCGTATCATATGACCTGGACGATCTCCTGGTGCTCGCCATGTATACATTCTTTTTGGTGGGAGTTGATATCACTCTCAGAGATTTCGAAGCCAAAATGCTCTTCTTCAGCCTGGGTCTCTCTTTTCAGCGATCGTGCTCTTTATTAATAGGTGTAGAAGGTTATACTGTTATATATCTCTGGATGTTTCATTTCATTGGCTATTATTAATGAAAATATAGTAATATTTACGACTAAAATGAACAAACAGATAAATAAACAAATACATCAAAACATCCAAACAAAAATGGCTGACTAAGGTAAAACTGTGAACAAATAGAAATATTAAAGGAAAAATCATGTACTTTTAAGCTACATGAGGAAGTAAAACCTACATGAGGTTTCTATAAGCTTCAACAAATTTAATGCATAATAGACAGTAATACTATAAAAGAAAATTCACACCTGTGCAAAAAAAAAGAAGAATTAAAGTACTTTGTATATATTATGAGAAATGATGAGAGATGGGATTTACTTACTAGAAATAGATAGAAATACTTACTCCCGCTTGTTTAGCGTCACTAGCTACAACTCCGTTCAAAACTAATCCCTTTGTCAAAATCTTCTCAAAAAACCTGTTAAGCTTATGCTGATCGTGTTCTTCGTTACTACCGGAAGTTTCGACCATCAGATAAAACGGATATTCTCCAATTGGGGATGTTTGTTGATTTTTTTCAGATATGAATTGCATAGTTGTTGAATCCATGACTTCAATCGCCGATAGGATTTCCCCTAAAGATTCTTTAAGTAGTTTGTAGGTTTTTAAAACTTTTGAAAAATTTTGTAGACCTGAAATCACACATTTCATTATTAATATGTTATATTAGATAACTTGAAGCTTTATAAAAATAGAACTCTCTAGAAATACATCTTTGATAAAATGTATCTATCGCTATCTTTTTAAAATGTCACAGTTGGCCGACGTTGTTTATCTAGATTTTTCTAAACCTTTGACCGTGTACCTAAGCGCAGACTTCTACATAAACTACAACATTAAGGAGTTCGTGGTACTTTACTTCGTTGGATAGATGATTTCCTGACAGATCGACATTACAAAGTTACAGTTGGCGAATCTTTCTCACAAGACAAGTTAATGGAAAGTGGAGTGCCTCAGGGCTCTGTCCTCTGTCTTATGGTTTATACCAGCGATGTTCCTTATTATGTTTCTAGTAAATTAACGCTCTATGCTGATGACAAAAATATATGCCAATCCGATCACAAACCAGCTAACTTTACAAACAGACCTGGACTCTATTTTAACTTGGTGTTCCCAGTGGCTACTATCCTTAAATGCGACAAAATATGTAGTGCTTCAAATTGGTAAAAATAACCCCCTTGTGTCGTACTTTGTTACCGAACAACCATTAGATTCTATGTTCTCGTATAACGACCTTGGTGTTATCGTAAATAGCAGCCTAACTTGGTCCGACCATATTACTTATATTTGTAAACGTGCGAATTCCAGACTATATCTTATTCGGAGGTGTATTTTGAGAGTTTCAATGAAGTCATTCTTTAAGCTGTACACTCTTACATTTAAAATATAAAATTTAGTTTTGAAATCTCGATGAAATTTTTACCATCAATTAAGATGAACGCCTCAGAGGTCCTCAGTTTAACTTAAAAAAGAGAACTTTTCTACAAGATCAAGATAGAACTTTCTACCACATAGAGTCTTTGAGAGCTAGAATAACCTTAGAGAAAACATTATCTCTGCTCCCTCTACCAACGCGTTCAAAAACACACTTGACCTTTTATATTATAGTTAAAATATTTTTTTTCTTTTAAACCAAAAATTGTAATGTAATTTTTTTGTAATTTTGTAATTTACTGGTAGGTTATTTATGTAATTTCTTTATTTTTTTGGGCATAATAGGTCCCTCTGCCATTGCTTATGTATAATAATAATAATACAGATAGAAATGTTTGGAATCGAATAGGTTATATCAGTATCGGACGTTTTTAATTTCAAATAAACTGAAAAATACACAATTTACCACAATTTATCCACAAAAAGAGAAGTAGGTATACAAGATTCCATGTGGGGACTGTGACAAATCGTACATCGGACAAACCAATCGAAGAATCCATGTTAGACGAGAAGAACATCGAAATGCCATCGAAAGGAGAGAAAAAATGTCGTTCCTTGCACAACATGTCTTAAATAAAGGACAAACGCAAGCAAAAAGACCGACGAGTACGAGCCCTCCTACCTATAATCGCACAGGGCTAATCACAAGAAGCGTTGCCAAGAACGACTATATAAGTAACCGCTTCGACCGGGAGAGTCAGTCAAACGAAATTATCCCTCCCACATCACCAGAAGAGATAAACGAGCTAATCAAAAACAGCTCGCCAAAAAAGGCACCCGGTCCAGACCAAATCACAAACAGGGCTCTAAAATACCTACCAGCGGGAGCCATAGTATACCTAACAAATATCATTAACGCAATGCTAAGGTTCAAGAAATTCCCAAACAGATGGAAAGAGGACCATGTCATAATGCTACCAAAGTCCGGAAAAGACAGCACATGTCCACAGAATTATAGACCAATAAGCTTACTACCTGCAATCAGCAAGATTGTAGAGAGAATAATACTTAGCAGACTTCAAGCCGAAACAGATAGATTAGACATAATACCCGAGGCTCAATTCAGGTTCAGATCAGAACACTCCAGTGAGCTACAAGTAGTCAGACTAACAGAGTACATAGCAGCTGGATTCAACGATAAACAATTCACAGGAGCTGCTTTCCTAGATGTAATGAAAGCATTCGATAGAGCCTGGTACAAGGGACTGATCTACAAAATGAGAAGATACGAGTACAGCGGAGCAATGACAAGACTGATCTCTTCTTACTTGGGCAACCGTAGTTTCAGAGTTCGGATAGGACAAGTCCTATCCGAGCTTGGGAACCCGGAGGCTGGAGTGCCACAGGAAGCGGTACTGTCACCTTTGCTGTACACGATATACACAGCAGATACACCTTTTTTTGGACTGAGGTGGAAAGATTCGTAAAATCGACTAGGGAAGGTGTCCCTAGTACTGTTGGATTCAACCAAAAAGGACCAGAGACATACGCCGACGGCACGATGTCAAACTATGTGACAGAGGGCCCCCTTTGGACATCCCTGCCAGGTCGCCTACCAACTAAAACCACCCCCTCTTCGACCCGTGGTATCACTGGACGAGTTCATTAGCGAACGAAACATGGAGATACCACGCGCAGACTAGGTTAAAGGTGCCTTAGGGCTATTTATTTTAGTTACAGTACTTACCTAGAAGCAGTAAGCGTGTAGGGAAGGAGACCTAGTTCCCAAGCGAAAAAACTTGAGAGCTTAAAAAAGGGGGGTTACCGTAAAGGGTAACATTTGGTACATTTTTGTACAGAAAAGAAAAATAATGAAATGTTTGTTTTTATTATTTATTTTTGTATTTGACCCCTCACCCAGCTTGTTCAACACTTTCTATTATAGTCTTCCTTTTCATGATACATGTTCTATGGTTGATTATATATTCAAAATTCTCTTTGCTGGTCATTGCAATCTGCTTGATGTTGTTGGGCGTGATCGGGCCTGCAGCCTTTGTATCCCACCTTTCCAGCCTGGGTATTCTGCAACCTTTGTTGTTCGTAGGCGAAAACATTACACCGGACGATGCAATGTTCTGCATTGTCCCTCTCATCACACGAGGTGCATATGTCATCGTTGGTTTTTTTGATGCCATATGTGTAGGATCTGAAAGATCCATGACCGGTCAGGAACTGAGTAAAATAGTAATTTACTCTTTTAAATTTACAGTTGTAACATGCTACAACATCGGGGATTAGCGTTTTGGTCCAACGAGCCTTCATGGTCTGTACCTCCCATTCTATTTGCCATTCTATAAGCATGTTCACTCGTATGGTCCTTCTTACCTGAAGTGGGTGACCGTCATGGGCTTCATACAGCATTTGTCTTTTTTTAACAAGCAGGTGGATGGAAAGCGTTCCCGCAATCACCTGTAAGGCCAGCGTATAAGTGGTTCGGTACGCGCTCGCCACTTTTAAATGGGGCTTTCTTTGAGCTCTTGTTATAATATCTTTGTACTTCTGGTATTTTAGTACGTTAATCCAAACGGGAGTTCCATATAGAAGGGTCGATTGCACTACTTAAAGGTACAATTTTCTCTTGTTGCTGCTGGGCCCTCCTATGTTGGGTATTATTCTTTGGATAGCTGCCGTCCGTTTATCCGCCTTCTTAACCACTCCTAACAGGTGTTTCGTATACCTCAGGCTATACTTAGACCTTAGGCTATACCTAGAACACCAGGTATATTACTAAGTCTCTATGCCGATGACACAGCGATAGCGGCCAAGCACAGAAACGTAGATATAGTAGTCAACAACCTACAAACAGCACTAGACGACATAGAAGAATGGATTCTAAAGTGGAAAATAGCAATAAACTCCGATAAGATGCAATCTGTACTTCTCAAAAAGAGGCATCAACAACCAGAAGAACAGGTAACTGTGCAAGATAATCCCATCGAGTGGAAAAGCGAAGCAAAATACCTCGGAGTAATCATGGATAAAGGTCTAACTTTTGGCAAACACGTAGAAGCCACCATACAAAAAGCCAACATGGCGAGAGCAGCAATAAGAGGCCTAGCAGGAAGGAAAAGTAAACTATATTAGCATATACGTCACTTGCATGGGGATACACATGCAACACCATAAAAAAGAAAATACAAGCGACACACAACAAAAGCCTAAGAGAAGCAGTCAACGTACCAAGATACGTATCGGAAAGATTCCTCTTCAGAGAACTACAGCAAATCAGAGTGACTGACACAATGAAAGAAAAAGCCAGGATAAAGTTCGCAGAGTTAGAGAACCACCCCAGTCACACACTACGAGAGATAATGAGGTATGACGCTTTCCATAGATGGAAGCACAAAAGACCTAAACAACAAATAGTAGACTAAAACAAAATCCCAGAGAGAGAACAAAAACACCCCAGATGGAAACGAAACCCCAAAAAAACCCAGAGAGAGAAGAAATTCCAAAAAAATTTAAAAAACAAAGCACAATGAAGACAGTTCGTAGCTCAAAAACACCCAGGATATCGCCAAACACAAAGTGGTCCCGGTTGCCTAAACGAGGATAAACTCTGTATTGTGGTATTGTTTTATATTTTATATATTTTTCATTATTGTAATATAGATTTTATACTAATTCTGATTTTTGTTCACAGGGCCACCTACAAAAAAAAATCAACAAAAAACACAAAAAACCGGCTCGGCCACCAAAAAAATTACAAAATACTAACAAAAACCGGCGAAAGCCACCAAAAAAAATTAACTAAAAACCCCAAAACCCGGGCACGTAGGGCCCAATCACTTGAGCACCAAACTGAGCCGGGACTCAGAGCGGAGACTTGAGGCCCAAGTAAGCAATTTTAGTTCGAGGATAAGCCACATTAAGATAACAGGAATATTTTTGCAAATTGGTTAGGAAACAATGTTGGGCTCTATTACCCAGGACCTTCACATGAAGAGCATTTGGCTGATTGTTGTGCCTCTATAGCGCATCAGAGTGCTATAGGGGGGAAAGGGATGGTCTAGAGCATTGGAGCGCGGTGGGATGACTCCTGTTTTTACACGAGTTAACACACCTCGCTCCAATGAATTGTTACACCCGATCGTAATTCATAGGGGTGAACATTTCTCATAGGCTGGGTTCAATTAAATTGATTGCTGCTTGCTTACCGGGAGAGTCAGTTTACTTCAGGCACTAGCAAGAAGTGTGACTATCTGACTTAATAATGGCAAGAAGGCCATTTTGTAATAAATGCCTGTTAAATAGGTAAAGAAATAATAAATAAGACTTACTCACAATCAATTTAATTTAACTATCAGACGACCGGTTTCGCTTTCTACAATATGCAAAGCATCTTCAGGTCTCGATACAAAGTTAAATAAATGCTAAAATAATAATAAACCCATATTAGGGTGTTGTCTAATAAAGATAAACAAAGTAGATGTTATAAAATTACAATAATTATGCCAATATTACAAGTCTGTGGTTTTTCGAAATGAATAAAAAGGTATAAAAATTTTTAACAGACAAGGTAAGACCCACAAATTGTTACAAAATAGTCTATTAGATTGTAATAAATTAATAAATGAGCAAATAAATAAAACATTACTTACATGCCGGTACTCTATTAATTGATGGATGGTAGAACATGGTTGAAACTATCATGTATTGTTGAATGGAGAACTTAAGTCTGCTATTGTAGTTGTTTGACAATAAACGGGAAGTTCTTGAGGAGATAGATTTGATCCAATGAAGTAGAGATAGGTGTAATATGATTGTTTGTTAGATGAAAGTGATGTTATATACCATTGTATTATTTAAAAGTTATTTATACATATTCAAGAGATATATTTATGAAATGTGTGTTATTTATTGATAACACACAATAAATAACACACATTTCACACACATCTCCTCAAGAACTTCTCGTTAATTGTCAAACAACTACAATAGCAAACTTAAGTTCTCAATTCAACAATACATGATAGTTTCAAACATGTTCTACCATCCATCAATTAATAGAGTACCGGCATGTAAGTAATGTTTTATTTATTTGCTCATTTATTAATTTATTACAATCTAATAGACTATTTTATAACAATTTGTGGGTCTTACCTTGTCTGTTAAAACTTTTTATACCTTTTTATTCATTTTGAAAAACCACAGACATGTAATGTTGGCATAATTATTGTAATTTTATAACATCTACTTTGTTTATCTTTATTAGACAACATCCTAATATGGGTTTATTATTATTTCAGCATTTATTTAACTTTGTATCGGGACCTGAAGATGCTTTGCATATTGTAGAAAGCGAAACCGGTCGTCTGATTGTTAAATTAAATTGATTGTGAGTAAGTCTTATTTATTATTTCTTTACCTATTTGAAATGGACTCACACAAGCAACACGTTCATGATTTTTAAATGCCTGTTAGGTATTTAGGTAAAAACGAAACGCTCATGCTCATGCGAAAATTTTAAGTTATTTTATATTTTATTATATCTAAGTGATCTTTCATCTGTCAAAAAAAAATTGTTTTCATTTCTGATTTACATAACATACATGACTTCTTGGCGAATTCGCGAATAAATTTTGAAACACTCGCTCTCTTCTATAATAGAATTATATCTACTATATACGAATGTACTAAAACCACAGTCAAAAAACACTAACAGCTTGTGTATCTACTATATATTTTTATACTAGTATTCTTACCTAAAAACGCTACATTTCTATATTTTGGTCTCGGTGGACACTGCAAAGCTACTTTGGTAACGAGTCCAAGTGTGCCTTCAGATCCAATAAACAAATGTTTCAAATGATAGCCTGTATTATCTTTCTTAAGTGTACTTAGGCAATCTATAATTTCACCATTGGATTTTACCTAAAATGTTTTTTAACTAAAACTAATACACACATTTATATTGTCGATCCAATTTATATTATGAAATGAAGGGTTAATTATTTATCGAGATAAATGTATGCAGAGAAACCAATTAGTCCTTACCACTTCTAGTCCCAAAACATTAGCGTGCATATTTCCATATTTGACCAATCTCATCCCACCTGCGTTTGTCGAGACGTTGCCACCAATATGGCAGGTCCCCTTAGCTCCAAGATCTAAAGGTATTATTAATCCCTTTTCGGCAACAAAGTTGTCGAGATTTTGTAGTATGCATCCTGATTGACACACTAACACCCCTAAAATAAACAAAAAATAAAGTGTTTTATTGTGTATATAGAGTGTGTATCACTGAAATTTATATTTCTTATTACACATCTTACAAATCCATGTCTAAACGAAAAGAATAGAATAGAATAAACTCATTAACCGGCAGACTTAAACGAATATGCACTAAGCATATCGTGCATATTGTATGCAACTAGTAAACTTTTTGCGTATTTTTATATAAATCGAAGTAAAATGCATAATGAAGATGGAAACAGGTCGATATTATAGAAACCGAACAGAATGTCGACTAATCTTAGAGCAGTCCAGGATCTACAGAGGATTGTCGATAGAAATATGATCATGACATTTTCAACAACACAAAAACAATGCCCTTTTTTGTATATAATTCATTTAAATGTTCTTGGTATCTTACAATAGGTAAAAATCCCTTTAATAACGGAGAAATACCCAAATTATGCATTTGTATCCGAAACACTCAACACAAACCGCAAAGACCGCTTTCAGAAAGTCTTGCTTTAGTGGAAGCATTTATTTCTGCTTGTGAAATCGTTAACGAACCATTATTAGAGCACAAATTTTACGAAAATAAATAATACCATTGATAAAAATATAGGATTTCCCACGGTTCTTCAAGTGACAAATATTTTCTGGGAAAAATTTTCGAAGGATTTTTTTATTTTATTATGGCACTTGACACATTTACATTTAAATTTACATATATTTTGTATAAAACATAATACAAATATGTTTACAAACGAACTTATTTATGTAGTCTATCGACTCTGGAGTCGCCATTAGGAAATACTCTGACCTGCCTTGATAGGATCTTGTGGGACACTGTGTTGTAATGTGACAGATGGTTTGTGGTTGTCCGTAGTTACAGAGTGGGGATGGTCGTTTACCCCATTTGTGCATCATGTAACTGTATCTACCGATAGGGTTTCTAATTCGGTTCAGCGTAGTCCATGAGTTGCGTTGTCAAAACTTGGAGGTTTTTGTATGATGCAGGGTAAGCTGATATTTTGCTGTTCCATCCAGTCTCGAGTCGAAGTGGTCGTTAAGTTGAACTTATTTTCCACAGCCGTCTGTGCTGTTTTTATGTCGTATGGAGCGTAGGCGGTTACCATTGGCAGCATCTATATTGATGGATTGGCAGGGTCTTGATACTAAGTATCTTTTTGTACTCACTAGTGAGGAAATGTATGCGCCCTAGTTTGGGTGGTGGAATGGGGCTCAGTACTGGGAGTCATTGCGTAGGGGTGGATTTGATAACACCAGCCATCATTCTCATTGTATTGTTCAATCGGGCATCTACTTTGTGTATTTGTGGGCTGTTAAGCCAGGCTAAAGAGCAGTATTCCGCGGTTGAGAAGACAACGTCCATGGCAGATGATCGAAAGGTGGAAGCCGATGCTGTTATGCCGCACAGCCTTTGAATGATATTGTTTCTGGATTTAAGTTTTTCCGCTGTTTTTGACAGATGTTCCTTGAAAGATATGGTTTTGTCAAGATTCACCCCAAGGTACTTTTGTGTTTTATTGTAGGCGAGTGTGATGTTTTCGGATTGTATGTTGAATGTTCTTCCTGCAAGCTTGTTATTTAGGCGAAAACTGGAAACCTCTGTTTTGGTAGCATTTGTTTGGAGCCTCCATTTACGAAAATACTTTCCCACTGTATGTCAGTCCACTGTAATGATTTCTTCTACTTGTTCAAATGACTTACACCTTATTGCAAGAACAAGAAACATGTCGTTTCCCATGGCTACTTGAATCGTTCGGTCGGCTAGCATGCTGTTGATTATTCGAGCGGTGTATTTAGAGAAGATTGTATGGAGGAACGTGTATATCATTCCTTCTCTCCAGACTGTATCGTAGGCCGCCGTTAGGTCTATGAATGTGGCTGCAGTGTTAAGTTTTCTCTGGAATCCTGCCTTAATGAAGGTGGTAAGTGAAAGAACCCGATCTGTGCAGCTTATTTTCGTTCGAAAACCTGCCTGATCAACCGATATTGATTCAAGTAGCTTTGGACTAATTATGTTGTAGATAAATCGTTCAAGTAGCTTGAACGTCGCCGATAGTAGGACTATTGGTCTGTAGTTCTTAGGATTGTTATCATTTGGTTTTCCTGGTTTTAATATGGCAATGATCTTCGAGCGTTTGAAATCCTTGAAAAAATTCGGGATGAATATTGTCAAAACCTTGGACTCTACCTGGCTTTACATCCTTGAGAGCTCTAGTGACTTCTTCGCAAGTGAGATTGCGGGAGTATTCGGCTTCTGCAGATTAGAATTTTAAAGTTTTGAGCTCTCGTTTTACCTTGATTGTGTGTGACTTGTCTTTCGGGGCCGTAGATGTCGATACCAGATGTGAGGAAATAGTGTTTGGGTTAATTGTTGTTTTGCTCCTTGTTATGGGAGTTCCGCTTCATAGTTTTCTTATTAGTGTCTATGCTTGCCTACTTGATATTTGAAAATTAAGACTTTCTACAGTTTCCGTTCATTTTTGTTGTCTTGCTGCATCTAGTCTATTGAGCAGTTCATCGGCTATTTCTTGCTAAAATATGCTCCTAGCACACAAGTTGGTGTCGAAACAAGTTTTTCTATTTATAAATATCTAGATTTTGTCAAACAACATAAATTTTTAATAGAATTTGTATCTAAACAATACAAAAAGTACAAATATTATTGTAAGTTTTGATTATTTTACCTATTTAATATAATACATATATTTTAAAATTCATAGTGTGTTTTGTTGAATGTTATGTTGAATTATTTCTGTATATTATTGACAATAATAAATTTTTTTGCATACTATTGACAAAAGTCGTGCATATTTAAGAGCATATACTTTATGGCTAAATATACATATTTCCATAAGTCTGTTAAACCATGTTTTCACTAAATTTTGTAAGTTTAAGGTATAGATGTAGGAAAACTTTGAAACAAATTTTAAAATTATTTATCCACTTTTGTTTATTCCATTGCCAATCCTAATTTCTGCGTTTTTTTTTACTAAAATAAATTATATATAATAAAATTTTATTTAGAAAATCTAAAAAGAAACAGTTTTTACTTAAAAAAAAGAAAAAAGTCTATGGAGACTACTTGTTTGAGTGAATGAAAAAACTCATTTTGTTTACATGTTGTGTTTACATTAGTTAATATTTTCATAAGAAAATATTTATTTTGCCTAAACTTTAATTTGCAAAAGGTCCCAGTTTGAAATCCAATACAAAATGTTTGTAGTTTATTCGCCAGAGATTTGACTCTTAAAAATCATACGAACGAGCTGAATTTTGTCAAGAATATCAATTTTTGGGGTCCCAAAGAAGAAGCAAACAAGTTTTAAAACTTATACTTACGACTTCCCAACAAAATCCCCTTCGCAGGGGGTAAAAACGGAAAAAATCGATTTACCAAGAATCAGGAGACCGCAGAAAAAAAATATTTCAAATAAAAAATGTAGCTGAGGTAATTTTAAACAAAAACGTTTATTAGAATTTTTTCGTATAGAATGAACCGTTTTCTTAGAAACAACACTTGAAACAACCGGCGATTTTGAATCAGTTACACGCGTGTGCTCAAAGTTAAATAAAATTTGTTTAAACTCGACGGTAAAAATTCGATATCTTTTAAACAAAGTGTCCTACCGAAAAAAACCAAAATACGTTTCAAAGGTGAAGAGTATTGCAATATGCAATTTTTGTGTTTTGCCACAAATGAAGTCAGTTTCTGCAAATATGTTCAATAAGTAAACATTGCGTGATTTTTACCATTTTTACAATTCTGATGAGATCAATAAAATTTATCACTTTCATTGACCGTTCGTAGTGAAATTTCCATTGTTAGAGACCATCTTTATAACATACAACATAAAATGTCGATTTTAAAGTTGGCAACACATATCAGGCATTTGAAATATGACTAAAAAACGCAGAATATATACTTTTACATTACAAACAATCGCACGTCACAGAAAATGCCTGCAAGCAGATGGTTTTGAGTGTAATTTGTAGCAGAGGTTATGTTCTTTTGAAAAACGTACTAATAATTGAAATAGACAATTTTAAACGTTTTGGATAATTTATAATGTGAAAGTTTAAATTCAGCGTTTTTTAAGCACATTTCAAATGTCTCATATTTGTTGCCAAAACTCAAAACTTAAATTTTATGCTATATGTTTTAAAGTTTAGGCTCTATTAATGGAAACTCCATAGTTACCGTTCAATGAAAGTGATAAATTGTATTGATCTCATGAGAACCATAAAAAATGGCAAAAATCACGCATCCAAATTGCATACCGAAACTGCCCTCTTTACCTTTAAGCTGTATCTTGATTTTTGTTAATAGAACAGTCTGATCAAGAGATATCGCATTGTTACCGTCTGAAAAAAAATTTATTAAACATTGATTTCGCGCGCGTAACTGGCATTCAAAACCGCCGATCGCTTTAAGTGTTGTTTCTGAGAGAACGGTCCATTCTATACAAAAGATAAACATTTTTGTTTAAAATTATCTTAGCTACATTTTTTATTTAAAACATTTTTTTACAACGTACAGATTCTTGATAAATCAATTTTTTTCATTTTCCCCACCATGAGTGGGGTTTTAGGGGAAGCCCAAGAGTAAAAGTGGTAAAAACATATTCTCTGCAAAATTCAGCTCGTTCGTATGATTTTTATAGATTCAGTGGCGTTTTCATCTTTGGCGACTGAAGTATTTATGTTTATTAAAATTTTATTTGACTGGGCTATTTCGGGTGTATCTATGTGAATATTAACATATACATGTAAAATATTACCTGAATTTTCATCTAAACTGATAATATCATTCATAAGTTCCGTTGATATTATTATTTCATCAAAAACTGGAACGCATCCTCCAACAACTCCAGTGTTACCACCTTGTGTACATAAAGCAAGCTTTTGATTATTGCAGAATGAGAGTATCTGAGACACTTCTTGAGTTGTTTTAGGTTTTAAAACAATACTACTGCAGCCTGAAAGAAACACAACACTTTTTTTATAAGCATTCGAAAGATTTTCATTTTGACAAAGATAAGCCAAAAAATAAATAACGATCCGAAACTGGGTGTATGAATGCAGTAAATCCGAGAATCACAAAAGGCACAAAAGATTGTTTCTTTGTCTAGTATCTACGAATATTTATCTGCGGCATTAGGTCGCAGGTCATTATTTTTGTATTATCTACCTAAGTTATAAATGCCGTACAAAAATGTTTGACCAAAATGCCCCCCCCCCCCCCACATTGAGTAGTAAGTTTAACTTATCTATGTAGCCACCTGTACCGATAAAAAATAACGGCATAGTTTCTAAAGTTGTTATTACTATTACGATAATTATGGCGTTTATAACTATCAATATATTATGACTAATTCTGTTTTCTGTTCTAGTAAATTCGAAGTTGTTTACAGAAACCTCTAGACCCTAATTTTATGAATAATCCACGTCTCGAGGCTTTTCAAACAGTTGAAAAACGAGTCGAGCGCCTTCACCAAAATACGAGATCATTCCAGTATTTTCGCCAAGGGTCAGGTCAGGTCTAGGCGGTCTTACGGTTCTTTATATAAGAACGAAATTTTATTGAAGGAGTCAGTCATAAGAAGATCGGTAAACGCGGTTTACTTGTAACGAAACGTGAAATAAATACATTTGTAAAGTTATTTAATAAATTAGTAATTAGCTATCGTGAGTTTTAATAAATTAGATTATAGACAATAAATTGGAATAAAGACAAATAAATTCGAACTATATAAATATACAACAGTGGAGTCAGAAGTGGGATATTCAAATAAAAAAGCGGGATTTTAAATAAATCTAATTTGAACTTTAAATAAAAAGAAGTGAAATATGACGACGATTTACGAGCTCACAGTTACGAATTTAAGAAGGCATCTTGAGGACAGAGAATTAGCTTCTACCGGAAAAAAGGCTGAGTTAGTCCAACGACTAAAGAATGCTTTGGAGGAAGAGGGTTTAGATCCGGAAACTTATATATTTGAAGATGCTGTCATCGCGTCAATTTCAAAATTGGAGAATAAAGTTTCTTCCGATGTAGCCAGAGTCTCTGAAGATGTAGCCAAGGTTTCCTGTGATATCGCTTCTTTAGAAAGCAAAGTTTCTAACGAGATTTCTTCCCTAGAAAGCAAAGTTTCTGCTAGCATCTCCTTGGAAATCTCTAAAGTTACTTCTGAGATGTCTGCCCTCGACGATAGAGTATCGTCGTTAAAGAACCAAGTTGCTGCCGATATGTTGGCCTTCGAAGAGAAGATAAAAGAGATGGAAAGGAAGATGGAGGAAACAACGACCGCCGAGAGAGAAAACAATCCAATTATAGCAGAGACAAAAGAAGACGAGACGAAATGTAAGTTGGAAACACGGCCGAAATTTGAAGGAAGTGGAAGTTCCGTTCATGTCAAAGTCCCAACTTTCGACGGAAAATCATCATGGGACAACTACATGAAACAGTTCGAATCAGCTGCAAGAGCGAATGGATGGTCTGAAAAAGAAAAGGCTGTAAACCTGACTATCGCTCTTCGAGGAGATGCCTTAGATGTGCTCCAGACCATAGCCGTAGAGGAGACGGATGATTTCGAACAACTGAAGAAGAGGTTAAATATGCGATATGGCCACGAACACTTGGAGCACGTATATCAGTCGCAGCTTAAAAATCGAAGACGAAAGAAAGATGAGGCCCTTCAAGAATATGAAGTAGATATTGCCAGATTAGTGCGATATGCTTATCCAACAGCTCCCGAAGACATGATGGAAAAGTTGGCCGTTCAACGTTTATTGATGGTCTTCGTGATCATGAGATGCAAAGAACACTACGATTAGCTCGTCACAAGACGTTGGTTGATGTCTTATCCGCCGCCCTCGAATACGAGTCAGCTACGCAGGCCTCTGGCGGTTACAGTAAGGTTAGGACTGTAAAAGAGGAAGAAGATGAAGATAAACTGGACCAGCTCGTTAATATGATAAAAAGCATGACACACAAGAAAACGAAGACCATAAGACCGAAGATAAAACCAGAACGCGTCGGCCTTAGGGGAGCAGCTTCGACCCAGAACTTTACCAAAGACCCTCTGATACTAATAGCTTCTTTGAAATGTCGTGAAGATAGTGTATATGTAGATGGAGAAATAAATGGTAAAAAGCATACGTTGTTGGTGGATACTGGAGCGACCAGAACCATTATACGCCCGACAGTTATAAACAGCCGAAAGAAACTGTTACCAACGAGGTTGCGACTTCGGACCGCCACAGGTGAAAATGCCAACATTCATGGAGAAATCCAGGTACAATTAGGAATTGGAGCAGAAAAGTTCGTCCATACTGTTATAGTTGCTGACATCGAAGAGGATGTTATATTAGGAATGGACGTAATGAATACGCATGGATTCCAATTGGATTTTAAGAATAAGGTAATCAAAGTTGGTAACGAGGAGGTATTTCTCCATCCACATGATGACAACACTATGCAAGCAGCCGTTAAAGAAGATACAGTCGTGCCTGCGAGAAGTGAAACGATAATAGTAGCGCGGCTACAGGGAATTGTGGACGAAGGAACACCTGTTATGATGGAGCCTTGGAATCATGACGACGAAGTTGGCCGTGGAATCATAATTGGAAAAGAATTAGTGACTTCGGCTAAAGAAATTCCTGTGAGACTTATTAATGTCAATGACTACCCAGTGACCATCAAAAAAGAGACAAAAGTAGGAACTTGTGTACCTGTCACATCCATAATCCGTCAGACGACAACGTCTGATAATTCCAACGATAAATTTGATCAAATGGTTGCGGTTGCTGGACAGTCTCTGAATCAGATTGAGAAAAGGAAATTAAGGGAATTTCTTCGGCAGTATCGTGATATTTTCGTACCGAAAGGAGGAAAGACGGGAAGAACTACCGTTGTTAAGCATAAAATTGATACTGGTAATGCTAAGCCAATTCGTCAAACAGCTCGACGATTACCACAGGCGAAAAGAGAGGAAGCTGAAACGATTGTTCAGGAAATGAAGAAAGACGGGGTGATAGAACCTTCTACGAGCCCATGGGTCTCTCCGGTGGTCCTGGTTAAGAAGAAAGACGGAACAACGAGGTTCTGTGTGGATTACTGTTTGCTGAACAACGTTACCAAGAAAGATAGTTATCCTCTGCCTCGGATCGATGACACATTAGACACATTGGCTGGAAGTAAATTATTTTCTACTTTGGATTTGAAGTCTGGATACTGGCAGGTAGAAATGGACCCGGTAGATAAAGAAAAGACGGCCTTCACCACAGGATCTGGATTATGGCAATTCAATGTTATGCCATTTGGACTTTGTAACGCTCCTGCGACATTTGAGAGGCTTATGGAAAATGTGTTGAGAGGGTTATCTTGGAAAACATGCCTAGTTTATCTAGACGACATAATCGTCTTGGGGGAGACATTTGAAGACCATCTTAAGAATTTAGAAAACGTTTTTAATCGACTTAAAGCTGCCCAATTGATGTTAAACCCCAAGAAGTGCCAGCTATTTCAAGGTAAAGTCAATTATCTGGGTCATATAGTCAGTAAAGAAGGAGTGGCCGTGGATAAGGGAAAAATCGATTCTATTAAGGAATGGACAAAACCAACTGACAAACATCAAGTGAGAAGTTTTCTGGGACTGTGTACTTACTACCGGAGGTTTATTAAGAAGTTTGCAGTTATCGCTAAACCATTAACGCGACTTACAGAGGAAGCAAGAGAATACCGCTGGGATGTAGACTGCCAGAATGCCTTTGAAACCTTAAAAAAGCATTTAATCACAGCACCAATTTTAGGGTATCCACTGCCAGAAGGAGAGTTCATCTTAGATACAGATGCAAGTAATGTGGGAATTGGAGGAGTGCTGTCTCAGATTCAAGGAGGACAGGAAAGAGTCCTTGGATATTTTAGTAAAGTTCTCTCAAAACCTGAGCGAAATTATTGCGTCACGAGAAGAGAACTTCTGGCAGTAGTGAAATCAGTAGAGCACTTCTATCAATACCTCTATGGAAGGAAGTTTTTAATCCGAACCGACCATGCCGCCCTTAAGTGGTTGATGCAGTTTAAGAATCCAGAGGGTCAGATAGCCAGGTGGATCGAACGACTCCAAGAATATGATTTTAAGATTGAGCACCGGGCCGGAGTTAGCCACCGAGACGCCGACTCTCTTTCCAGAAGGCCATGCCCAGCAGAGTGTTCTCACTGCAACAAAACGGAATCCAAGGAAGCAGCAGTGCTAAGAACGACGGTGGTCCACGACGACTGGACGCCTACCAAGATCAGGGAAGAACAAGAGAGAGATCCAGTTATACAGAAAATCCGAAAATGGAAAGAGGAAAACCGTCGACCACCTTGGCAAGAAATATCGAACCTAGGCTCAATAGTTAAGACGTATTGGGCCCAGTGGGACTCATTTATCATGGAAGATGGCTTGCTCAAACGAGTCCTGGAAAATGATGACGGTTCAGAGAAGAGAAGACAGTTGGTGATTCCAAAGAGCAGAATAGCCGAAGTACTTCGTCAGTTACACGACAGTCCATCAGGAGGGCATTTTGGTGTGAAAAAGACCCTTCAGCGAATTCGGGAACGGTTTTATTACTGGTGTAAGAAATGTACTATTTGTGCTACGAGTAACGGGCCTTATCGAAAAAGGAGAGCTCCTATGAGACAATATAATGTTGGAAGCCCGTTTGAAAGAATAGCTTTGGACATTGCTGGGCCATGTCCAGAAAGTGATAATGGAGGCAAGTACATGTTGGTAGTAATGGATTACTTCACTAAGTGGGTCGAGATTTACGCACTTCCAGACCAGAAGGCCGCCACCGTTGCAGATAAGTTGATCCAAGAATATATCAGCCGATTTGGAGTGCCTTTGGAGATCCATAGTGACCAAGGCAGGAACTTCGAAAGCGATTTATTCCAAGGAATATGTGATAGACTAGGTATGAAGAAAACAAGAACTACGGCTTATCATCCGCAATCGGATGGTATGGTAGAAAGAATGAATAGAACAGTTGGCAAGTATTTGACAAAGATGGTGTCCGATCATCAGCGAGACTGGGACCAATATCTTCCGTTCTTCACAATGGCCTACAGATCTGCTGTTAATGAATCAACAAGCCAGACACCAGCCAGAGTCCTATTCGGACGCGAGATGCGACTACCTTGTGATCTAGAGTTTGGGTGTCGACCTGGAGAAGATGTAGCAGGTGAAGATTATGTGATCGAATTACGAAGAAAAATGGACGATGTACACGAGTTGGTCCGTTCCCATCTCCAAATCGCTAGTGACCGAATGAAGAAACGGTACGATACACAAGCCGAAAAGGGGTGTTTTAAGAAGAACGATAAAGTCTGGCTTTATAACCCCAAAAAGCGAAAAGGTTGTTCTCCCAAATTGCAGCAGTTTTGGGAAGGTCCATACCTCATTATGGAGAAGATCAATGATGTTATTTACCGAATAAGCAAGATTCCGAGAGGAAAGCCGATGATAGTACACCATAACCGGTTGGCGTCTTTCGAGGGTGACCACGACGTAGATGAAGAAGTGGAAGTAAACCAAGTCCAAGATGTGTCTGACCTCACGTTTGAGGAATTCATGGGTGGCTATGGAGGTACCGGTAAAGCAAGACATGGTGTTACCACTGAAGAAAGGCAAGATCTACTCGCGCTTCCCGATGACTACTCACTGGCCCTTACCATCCCGGCCAGTATCAAAGATGCACCAGGGTTGGCATCCGTCTTTCGAAGGAAGTTTGGTCGAGTTGCAGAACTTCAATGCCAAGTGCCAGCTCCTGGTAAAACCTTGAAACTTCAAGATGCATCACGTTACCTTTTCTACCTGGTAACAAAAGACACTGCCCGTGACCAACCTACCTACCGAGATGTATGGGAAGCCTTACTTCAGTTGAGAGAGCACGTACTAGAGTCCGACGTGCAAAAGTTAGCCATGCCAAAGTTAGAGTGCCACCAATTAGATTGGAGGGTTATTCGAAGTATGGTGGAGGAGATCTTTAGAGACACCGAAGTCCAGGTGTTAGTCTGTTGCAATCCGCATAGTTACTGGTGCGGAGAGAAAACCGTCCCTTGTCATTTTTATAAAACTGGAAGTTGTAAAAGAGGGTCCAGTTGCCGATACCAGCATACCGTTTCAGTTCCAGTCCCGACAAGGTTCCAGGAGGAACCATCTTTTAAGAGGGGGGCAATGTTACGATAATTATGGCGTTTATAACTATCAATATATTATGACTAATTCTGTTTTCTGTTCTAGTAAATTCGAAGTTGTTTACAGAAACCTCTAGACCCTAATTTTATTAATAATCCACGTCTCGAGGCTTTTCAAACAGTTGAAAAACGAGTCGAGCGCCTTCACCAAAATACGAGATCATTCCAGTATTTTCGCCAAGGGTCAGGTCAGGTCTAGGCGGTCTTACGGTTCTTTATATAAGAACGAAATTTTATTGAAGGAGTCAGTCATAAGAAGATCGGTAAACGCGGTTTACTTGTAACGAAACGTGAAATAAATACATTTGTAAAGTTATTTAATAAATTAGTAATTAGCTATCGTGAGTTTTAATAAATTAGATTATAGACAATAAATTAGAATAAAGACAAATAAATTCGAACTATATAAATATACAACATTACGTATTGTAGAATTTATTTACATGTGATTCATGCTGTGTCAAATGACTGCTTAAAAATATTACATTGGTTTGTAGTCTATTATTTTAGTAAACTATAAATAACAAACCTCTTACTTGAGTATACCAGTCCACATTGTACTTCTCTAAATCTGATAAGTCCATTATCACTCTTTTATATCCCAACAACGTCTGAAAGTAGTTAATATGGTCTTCACGTAAATAGTTATAGTTTCCTCTTGTAACTTTATACCTATTCTGTAAAATAAGAATAAGTATTTGTTTAATATAAAATTAAAAGAAAACTAAATTATTGGCCAAGAGAAAAGAATATAATAGAGTAGGAATTGATTTATTCCTATAAAAGTTGTACTGTCATTTCGAATGGCCGTAATTTACAAATTATTTACAAAACCCGGGTAAACCAGGTAGTTACAAAACCATATAAACCATCTGACCACCCAAAAAGTTATCGACCAATTGCTCTACTGTCTATAATGTATACACTTTTCAAAAGACTAATTTTTAACAGAATAAGCCCAACAATCCTCAAAGCTATACCAATTGAGCAAGTAGGTTTTAGACCAAATCGAGGTTGCATAGACCAGGCGTTATCTCTTTGTACTTACATAGAAGGCGGCTTTCAAAGAAAACTAAAGAGTTCTGCAGCGTTTATAGATCTGTCAGCAGCTTTAGACGTCATCTGGCGAAGGAATGATTTATAAACTCTTATACTATTCCTTGCAAATTCACCGCTAGATTAATACAGAATATGCTCACCGACAGAGTATTTCAAGTAATTATAGGATCCGAAGTAAGCACCCACAGAAAACTCAAAAATGGTCTGCTACAAAGCTCGGTGCTCGCACGGCTGCATTTTAGAATTTACATCGCAAACATGCCGGCAACAACATCGACAAAGTTTGGCTATGCTGATGACTGGACTTTATTAATCCAAACAAAAGCTAAAGAGATTCTTACGCAAGACCTAGAAGTTATGGGAAATTACTTTTAAAAATGGAGACTTCGCCCCAACCCCTCCGAGACCGAAGTAACCTGCTTCCACCTAAACAACAACCTGGCGTCAAAAACCCTTAACGTTCACTTTGATAACACACGACTCAACCAAAATAAACATCCAAAATATCTAGGAGTGGCCTTGGACAAAACTTTAGGCTGTAGAGAACATTTAAGTACAGTTGCCTTGAAGCTAAAAACCAGAAATAACATCATTTAAAAGCTCTGCAGCACAACACGGCATCCACACTCAGGTCTTCAGGCTTAGCTCTTAGCTTATCTACACCAACACATTGGCTACCAGTGCTGAGCGAGATTCTACCATCACATATTCACCAACTTAATCTGCTTACCAAAGAATATAACAATATCCTTAGCAAATCGGCGCTGCCGATGCATAACTATATAGAAGATGCAACTAAAAGTCGACTGCGATCCAGAAAATCTCCAATACAAACTGCAGAATGAGCCGCAGCCATAAGGTTCAACATGATCCAAATGGATCCATGAATGGTCGGCAACTCAACTAAATACAGCCATACCTTGCATCACAGAGACACCTCCTGGATTTGACCTACCAGGTAAGAACTGATACACACTTAACCGCAGCAGAACTCAACATGGTCGATGTGAAGATATGTTGCTCAAATGGAGCAAGCCACCATCACCGTCATGCAGCTGCGGCGAGGTCCAATCTATCAAGCACTTAATGGAGGAGTGCCATCAGCGAGCCTACGAGGGCAGTTCACAAGACTTCCTGTTTGCGACGATCAAGTCGATTAACTATATAAACAAACTCGACGTTTGCCTATAAACTGGGCATGATTTAAGTATTTTTTTTATTTAAACAAATATACCCGCATCAGCGACTAAGGGTTATTAGCGAGGGGACATACACATACAGTAAGATACATGTTGTTAGATAAAAGAAAAATATTTTTTTTACAATCTGGTATATAGTTTAGTTATTTTAAGATAACTTAATAAAGACTGTAAGTTTTTTTTTATTGAGTTAATGCCTCGACAACTAAGATAAAAAAAAATAAAAAAAAATAAAACTGTAAGTTTGCCGTTAGTATACTTTTTAAATTGTCACTAAGGGCACACGCGATTCTTTCGTTCTGGTACACTGGACACTCGACAATTATATGTTTCACTGACAACTGAGTGTTGCACTTGGTACACATCGTAGCAGCCTCCTGGTTGATTATATGCTTGTAGGTAAAGAAAGTAGGTCCTATTCGGAGTCGGTTGATAATGACTTGGTCTTTTCTATTACTTCTCTTCTTTTTCTTCTACTTTTTGTAGATCTTTCGATCTGTTTAATTCTGAACCTGCCTCTGGTTAATTTCTTGGGAGGTAGATTGCCAACTATCCCTCCATCTTTTAGGTGGTCTTCCAGGGTGTCTTGAACCGGGCGGATTGTTTTCTAGGGCAATTTTTGGGAGTCTATTCTCATCCATTCGTCTTATATGGTTGTACCACATCCTCTTGCGCTGCCTTCCCCATCTTACAATATCTTGAATTTTGCACTGCTCTCTAATGTTTGTATTTCTCACTCTGTCTCTTCTTGTTTTTCCCATTATTGTTCTTAGGGTTTTCATTTCGGCAACCCTTAGCATCTGTTTCGTTTTGTTGGTATCTTCGCGCACTTCTATGCCATATGTCATGATCGGTCGTATGCAAGTCTTATAGATTCTAATTTTACTATCTGTGCGCATATACGGATTTGACCAGACTATCTCCCGCAGACATCCTGATAGTGCAGATGCTTTGTTGATCTGACTCCTCAGGTCCTTTACTGGGTCGTGGGTGCTTGATATATCTATGCCCAGATATCTGAATTGCATCACCTGTTCTATGGGGTTATCCTCAACCACTAACTTACATCTGAGCGGATCTTTTGCTATTGTCATACATTTAGTTTTGTTGGTAGAGATGTTCATATTTAGTAGTCGGCTTGTTTGAAAGAACTGAAAGAGCTGCCTTTAGAGATCATCTTCTGATTCGGCAATAATTGCTGCATCGTCTGCGTAACACACCATACCAATTCTTTTGTTGCCCATTCTATATCCGAGATTAAGAGATGTTACTTTGTTGATAATTTTGCCCATGAGAAAATTAAACAAGAAGGGGCTTAAACTGTCGCCTTGTCTAATTCCTCCCGGTGTTGGAATATTTTCAGTGAATTCGTCTCCTGCTCTAACTTTGGTTACGTTGTTGTTATTTAGGTTATGGAGTATCTTTGTTATACTGGTCGGTGTTTCATTTTCTATTAATATATTTAGAATGTCTCCCAGGCGAACTCTGTCAAATGCCTTCGTCAAATCAATGAATGAAATATACGCTGGCATGCCGAACTCTATAGCTTTTTCTTTTATTTGTTTTATTATAAATACTGCGTCTGTTATAGATCGCCCTTTTGTAAAACCTTGTTGTTCTTCAGCATTAGTGATTTGCTTTTCCAATTTGTCCTTGAGAATACCCGTGAAAAGTTTCATTGTTGTATTTAAGAGGGTTATTCCTCTATAGTTTTGTGGGCAGATTTTTTGTCCTTTTTTAAATATGAGGATTGTGATACTATTATGCCATTCCTCTGGTGTTTCTGTTTTGTTTAATATTTTGTTAAATAGTTGTGCCAGTTTACTTGCAAGTTCCGGGCCTCCATATTTTAAAAGTTCTATTACTTGGTAAGATTAATTTGGTTCCTACTTGACTTAGACATTCCTTGAGTTTGTTGGCAGTGTGTGATTTTACTTTGTGATCAGTCCAAGGCATTTGATTTATGATAGCAATACTTTGGTAGGTTGTTGTATTACTTGCCAGATAGTCCACTTCCTCATTACCACTTATTCCCATATGGAAAGGTACCCAGATGAAGGAAATATCTTTTTGTTGAGTCTGTAGATAAGATAACTCTTCTTTGATCTTAAAAAGTATGGTGTGAGTTGTATATAGCTGTTTTATTCCAAGTAATGCGCTCATTGAATCGGTGATGATAACAAATTTGCTTTCATTGATAGAACCACTTTTTTTCTTCTTCTTCTTCAGCCTTCATTTATCCAATGTTGGACATAGACCTCCTCCAATTGCTTCCACGCTTCCCTATCTTTTGTAATTCTCATCCACTGCTTTCCAGCTACAGCAGTTATATGGTCTATCCATCTCTTTTCAGGTCTTCCCACGCTTCTTTTTGTTTCTCGAGAATGTCACTTAATGAGACCATCTGTTGGTGTCTTGTCTTGCTACATGTGCTACCCATTGCCACCTCAATGTCGCTATTTTTCCCATGATGTCGGTTACTTTAGTTCTTCGACGTATTTCGGTGTTAGGAATTTTGTCTCTGAGGCTTATATTTAACATGACCCTCTCCATGGCCCGTTGAGTTACTCTTAATTGTTCTGCCTTTTTCACATTTCTTTTTATGGTCTGGTGAATTGCCGTAAGTTTTCCAGTATATATACAACAATTTGTTGGGATTCGTATGGTAGACTTGACGTTTTCGTAGATGTATGTCCTTCATCACATTTGAAAGCAAAATTGAAGATTTGAAAAGTTGTTGGGTATTTGGACGTTACATTTTTATAAGCTATATCGAGTCAATTTTAACGTTTATTGTAATGTTTATTGTAATATTGTAGATGTACCGAAATGCCATACGCTAAATAAATAAAATCCAAATTATTGCACTAGCAGAGAAAGCTAAATTTGAAGTTACTTCGAAAGGCATGCTTTAGCATTAAACAATTTCAATATTCAGTACTCTCAAAAATCTAGTGGCCCCACAAAAACCAACCGAATTTACATATGGTAGTCGATAGTTAATAAAAATAAAACACAAGTTAATTAATAATACAGGTGGCGACATTATGCCGCCCCCTGTGTCTGAAATATATGAGAGATTTGTATTTTATAACTGCCAACAAAAAGTTAATCAGTCGACTAGTGATTCTTCATCTTTTTCAGATGCAAATCCACTAATGGGTGTTAGCGATCACATTTTCTATTAATTCTCTATTTCTTGCAATATGTATCAGATATTGTATGTCGTTAATTCCTGTCCATTGCCTTATGTTTCGGAGTCAGGACATTTTCTTGCGTCCCATTCCTCTCTTGTCTTCAATTTTACCCTCGATTATAAGTTGGAGGAACTGGTATTTTTCATTTCGCATGATGTGACCTAGATACGCCGTTTTCTTTTTCTTGATGGTTTCGAAAAGTTGGCGTTCTTGGTTTATTCT